TGCGTAGCACTGACGATGGCGGACACACCGGAGCTGCATAGTTTACCACAGACCGACCTATCGCGTTGTAAGAGGTCAACAAGGTTTCCTTATCAGATCCCCAAGTACTGCAGGCCTGAGAATTGAGGACCTTGTTCTTACTTCTAATCTTGTCGCCGATAGCTGTGGTATGCGCGGACGACTGAAAGAGGCTATCGAATGTGACCCCTAATACCCTGGGGTAGTTGGTGGTCGGAATTATAGCACCATCGACCTGCACATTCAAGGATAGCCCCATCTCCGCAGTCCATGTGGTGAAAAGTGTGGCCGTCGACTTAGTGGCGGATATCTTCATATTCCTCGCAGTGAAAAAAGGCGGTAAGATCAACAATGTAAGCGTTTAACCGATCGCAAATGTCATCAATAATGGCTTTTGAGAAATCCATAATCTTCTATCGCACGGCCTGCTCTGGTTGTGCTGTACATTTTCGGAATCCGTGTTGATGATCGGCTACTGGGAAACACTCTCTTATGCAGGAGAAGGAGTAAAGCCTCAAGCGTCTTTGCTACTGGTGACAAAAGTGATATCGGCCTGTATGAATTTTTGCTGGCGTGCTTGCCTGGCTTCAGTAGCGGGACCACCCTGCCCATTTTCCAGGCATCGGGAACTACCAGGGTGGTACCGATAGAATAAGGAGCTTTGTAAGAAACTCAATTCCTGGTTCACCCAGTTGCTTCAACATCACTATTGAGATTCCGTCAGGACCAAGCGCTTTGGATGACTTTGCGCTTCTTATGACATGCCAAAGCAAAGTACCTCCTCGGCTGGAAGGGATCGTACACGGCGTAGGATCCTTCTCTTCGCCCTGTCACTCTCGGGGTGCTCTACAAACTGGTTAAAATAACACGCGCACCTCTTCGGATCTGTCACTTCTACGCCGTTAAATGAGACAGATGTCCGATCGTCCTTTTTCCCAGGGTTCGAGAGCGGCTTAACCGTTGTCCACAATTTACTCGTTCCGGTACTGATGTTGCAATGCTTCAGATGTTCTAACAACTTTTTGCGCTTATGCTCACCTACTAACCTCTTTACCTCCAGAGTAAGTTCCCTGACTCTGGGGTTATTAGGGTAAGTACGGCGAAGCTCATCTCGCTAATCCCGCTGCCTCTGCTGGGAAATTTGGTCTTATTACAGGTATTCGACCAGCAGGTATATAGCGAGCGGCTGCAGCTTTGATGATGTCCCGGAAACACCAATCTGCTACCTGACATGGGATGGGTTGGGCAGTTCTCTGAAGCGGCGATTGGTAAACTCTCTGAATTCTTGTCAATTGGCTTTCCCGTGGTTAAGGAAAGTGCGGCGTCCAGAGTCAATGAAGTCGGGTGGTCTGTTGATGGCGACCGTTCGTCCATTGATATTTGTAGGTCATAAGGGTTCTGCTTCGGTGGTGAAACATTGTGTGTATAGGTCCTTGATTCGGTATCGACTTCATATAACAGTACCTCCCGAGATTCGGCATTTTGATGGTTTCTGTCATACTTTTGCACGGATTTGTCTAATAATTGATATTTGTAAGTCATAATGGGTTCTAGACCGGTGGCGGAAAATAGTATATATGGGTCCACGTTTTGGTATAGCCCCCACATATAGCGGTACCTCCCGGTATTCGCTGTTTTGATGATTTTGCCACATGTTTCCACGCACTATAAATTGCTATTAATAGTTCATAATGGGTTCTAGCTTCAATGGCAGAACATTGAATATTTAGATCCACGTTTTCCCATAGCACACATATAACGATACCCACTGATATTCAGTATTTTGATAATCCTAGTCACAGTTACCCACAAAACTGTTTCAAATTTGATATTTAAGAAGATTTAGTAGATGACAATCCTTAAAGTTTCAAATTGTCTATAGAGGTTCCCGTTTTAGTATGCCCCCATATATCGGACTCATCCACTTTATGGTTTTTTAAAAAAGTTTAACAGCATTATGCAACTGGTATTGGTCCGTTAAAGTGGAATAAGTTTGAATTCAGATACTTTTATATAAAAGTATTTGTTTTTTACCCAATGGTGGAAAGCATTAAAAGTCCGACCGAACTTAGTGTTTTATTTGTTGATTTTGTAATTTCGTTTGTAAAACAAATAAAAAAGCAGTAAGTTCGGCCAATACGATTGGAAAATGTGGCTCAAATCATCAAAATACCGAATATCGTTGACCTATATAGAGAATTCTCTGTCGGGGGGTAAAGTGCTCACAAAGAACCCTTTGTGACCATTCCGTTGAAAAATATGGCTAAAAACATCAAAATGCCGAATATCGGGGGTACCGTTATATGAGGGCTATACGATATCGTGGACCTATATAGACCCTTCATTTTGAGGAGGTAAAATGCCCACAAGGGACTCCTTTTGTGGATTTTCAGACAATTCCGATAAAAATTTTTGGGTAAAATCATAAAAATACCGAATATCGGGGGGTACCGTTATATGGGGGATATACGATATCGTGGACCTGTATAGACAATTTTCTCTCAGGGGGTAAAGTACTCACAAGGAACTACTTGTGTGGATTTTAAGACAATTCCATTGAAAATGTGGCTAACATCATCAAAATACCGAATATCGGGGGTAGAGTTATATGGGGGATATACGATATCGTGGACCTATATAGACAATTCTTTTTTAGGGGGTATAAAGTACCCACAAGGAACTCCTTTTGTGGAATTTCAGACAATTCCATTGAAAAATGTGGCTAAAACATAAAAATACCGAATGCCGTGTGGGTACCGTTATATGGGGGCTATACTATATTGTGGACCTATTAAAATAATTCTCTGCCGAGGTATGAAGTACTCACAAGGAACTCCTTGTGTGGATTATCACACAATTCCGTTGAAAAATTTGGGTAAAATCATCAAAATACCGAATATCGTGGGGTACCGTTATATGGGGGATGTACGATATCGTGGACCTGTATAGACAACTCTCTCAGAGGGTAAAGTACTCGCAAGGAACTACTTGTGTGGATTTTCAGACAATTCCATTGAAAAATGTGGCTAACATCATCAAAATACCGAATATCGGGGGTACCGTTATATGGGGGATATACGATATCGTGGACCTACATAAACAATTCTTTTTGAGGGGGTAAAATGCTCACAAGGGACTCCTTTTGTGGCATTTCAGACAGTTCCATTGAAAAATGTGGGTAAAATCATCAAAATGCCGAATACCGGGGGGTACAGTTATATGGAGGCTATACGATATTGTGGACCTATATAGATAATTCTCTGCCGAGGTATAAAGTACCCACAAGGAACTACTTGAGTGGATTTTCAGACAATTCCATTGAAAAATGTGGCTAACATAATCAAAATACCGAATATCGGGGGTACCGTTATAGGGGGCCGATATAGCCCATCTTCGAACTTGACCTGCCTGCAGACAAAAGAGAGATCTGTGCAAATTTTTAGCTTCCTATCTTAATTTGTTCAGACTGTATCGTGATTACAGCAGACGGACAGGTCTAAATCGTCTTAGAATTTTACGCTGATCAAGAATATATATACTTTGTTGGGTCTAAAATGATTATTTCGATGAGTTACAAACGGAATGACGAACTTAAACCCTCCATACTTTTTCGTGGAGGGTATAAAGATCATGTTAGACCCTACTAAGTGTATATATTCTTGATTAGCGTAAAATTCTGTGCCGATTTAGGGATATCCGTTCGTCTGTTCTAATCAATCTATCTTTAGAACGAATTTATACAGAAGGATTAAATTTTGAACATTTCCAGCGATTCGATCTTTATGGAGCGTTAGTTTTTGTAAATACACTAGGTACTAAGAGAAAATAAAATATGTTAAGCGGCAAATAGACCACACAAATTATTTGCGCAAATTCACACGTATTCAGCACACACACGTTGCAAACGTTTGCACAAATTTCATTCGAAGTAAGTACTCAGCGAGTGAAGTCATTCGGAAAAATGTTTGAGAACGCAGCTATTGCCGTCGCTTTGGCACTCGCCATAAAAAAGAAGCGCGAAGAAGAAAAAAAATTAAACGCAAACGCTTGTGGGCAAAAGAGTGGCTAAGGAAACGGCCAATTCTTTATGTCTCTGTTTGCATATTCCTTCGACCTTATGTCCCACAGAGCAGGCAAAGACCGGTAAACTTCAATAAACACCAAAATGAAATTCCGTTCTTCTTCTCTTTCCATTTTTAAAAAATAACAACAAAAAACAAACAAACAAAACTACGGCGGCAAGTCAAAAATTAACTTATATTCTTCTTCTTCTTTTGTTGTGTAATGCTTGACTGTTTATCACGAAATGAACAGATTTAGTGCAAACGCCCACACACCACACAAACATTTGCGCAAACAAGCCGAAAAATCTAAATGGTTTTGATTTTTCAGATCGATTTGCACAAACTCGTACGTGTGACACATACAACCTTATTTCACTAACACACATAAGCGATTTGCACAAAAATTTGTGTGGTCTATGGGTCGCTTTAGAGCCTGTGTGAACGCATTACATGTCTATTTACTTTTCATTAAAAATATACTTTTCATTTCAAGTATTGCAAAATATAAAAATATAGATTAAAAAGTGTAATTCATAACAGAAACTGAAAAAATACACCAAAACAAAGAAACAAACTAAACACAATTGTTTACTGCGCTCACGCACAACCGACAAAATAAGCGATCACAATCAATCGTGAACGTTCGTTATCATTGTCAAAAATGATTTCAATCTCCATCCAATGAACGATCGTTGTTGTATTCTCGCGCTCGTTTGTAATCTGTGTGCGAAAATTCGTTTGACGAACTTTCGACTGGTAAAATATGTATCGCGTTAAAATACAATCGCAAAATGAGCTCGAGTGAAAAGATCGTGTTTTTAACAGTCCGCAATTTTAGCGCACCCTGTGACAATCTCACATAATATTGTCTATTATTGTTTACACCATTTGAAATAATATGCATTTTTTTATTTTTAGGGAAACATATGGAAGATGCCTTATTCTAGATGGAATTATTCAGTGCACTACACGAGACGAATTTTCTTATCAAGAAATGATATCATTTATACCACTTTGTTCTCATCCAAATCCAGAAAAAGTACTAATTGTTGGGGGTGGTGATGGAGGTGTAGCACGTGAAGTTGCAAAACATCCAAAAGTCAAGGAAATTCACCAAGTTGAAATAGACGATCGTGTCGTGGACTTATCAAAAAAGTTTCTTCCAGAAATGGCCAGGGGATTCGATAGCCCGAAGTTGAAACTAGTTATCGGCGATGGATTCAAATACATGAAAGATCATAAAGACGAATTCGATGTAATAATTACAGATAGTTCAGATCCAATTGGACCAGCGGAAAGTCTTTTCAAAGAGAGCTATTATGGCCTAATGAAAACAGCTTTAAGAGTAGGTGGAATAGTGTGCTCGCAAGGTGGAAGCTTTTGGCTCGACCCAAGTCATGTAAAAGAGGTTATGACCGGTTGCCGAGTTCATTTCCCTAATGTATCTTATGCTGTTACATCAATTCCATCCTACCCTTGTGGACATATTGGTTTTGTAGTTGGGTGCTTAGACCAAAAACTTAATCTTAATACTCCTAAACAATTATTTTCTTCTAAAGAAATTGATGAAATGGATTTGAAGTACTACTCAAGTTCCATTCATACGGCTTCTTTCAATCTTCCTAGATGGGTCCACAAATACTTTTACGAATCACAGTAGGCTCCCTGTTTACATAAAACAAACATACTTATAACAACATTTTAAACGAAATTAAATAAAATATTGAATGACAAGTCGATTATTTTTTTTTTCTAATGTAAAAAATGAGAGGTAGTATGCTACTGGGCAAATGAAATATATTTTTATACAACGCCCTTGAGCGACATTACATTAATTACATTTTAAGATGACAACCTAGGACCTACGAACCATGAAGAAACAATAAGAAAAACGTAAATAAACGTATAATTCCTCCGTGCCAAACTTTTAATAACATCCACAAAAAAGAAGATACACTTAAAAATAAATTTAAATAGATTCAACCCTATGTAGGTACACTTTGCTATGCACTTCAAAATAAATTATTTCATATCATGCATTGCTAAAACTATTATAATTGTTTCATTTTGGGATATCAAAATATGTATTCAGTTTTCACTTTATTCCAATTGTGTTCGTTAATAAACTATGTTGATTTTTATACCCTCCACCAAAAAAGGTATGGAGGGTATATTAACTTTGTCATTCCGTTTGTAACTCATCGAAATAGTCATTTTAGACCCAACAAAGTATATATATTCTTGATCAGCGTAAAATTCTAAGACGATTTAGCCCTGTCCGTCCGTCTGTCCGTCTGTTGTAATCACGCTACAGTCTAAACGAATTAAGATAGGAAGCTAAAATTTTGCACAGATCTCTCTTTTGTCTGCAGGCAGGTCAAGTTCGAAGATGGGCTATATCGGTCCACGATATCGTATAGCCCCCATATAACGGTACCCCCCGATATCCGGTATTTTGATGATTTTACCCACATTTTTCAACGGAATTGTCTGAAAATCCACACAAGGAGTTCCTTGTGGGTACTTTATACCTCGGCAGAGAATTGTCTATATAGGTCCACGATATCGTATAGCCCCCATGTAAGGGTACCCCCCGATATTCGGTATTTTGATGATTTTACCCACATTTTTCAACGGAATTGTCTGAAAATCCACACAAGGAGTTCCTTGTGGGTACTTTATACCTCGGCAGAGAATTGTCCATATAGGTCCACAATATCGTATAGCCCCCATATAACGGTACCCCCCGATATTCGGTATTTTGATGATTTTACCCACATTTTTCAACGGAATTGTTAAAAGAATTTTTATTGGATTTTATTTTTTTGAAAATTTTCTAATTCGTTCCAAATGGTGGAGGGTATTCAAAGTTCGGCCCGGCCGAACTTACTGCTTTTTTACTTGTTATATAAATAAATCGTATACCACAACTCACTGATTTTATTGTGCATGCAATTGTTTCTACAATTGGCGATCCTGTATTTGTTTCTTTGAAAAGCAATCCTGCGAACATTATATTTTTTTAGGACACTCAAAAGGACTACAAAACTTATGGAAAACAATTTGAGACGATTTAAATTGTGCTTAGAGAAAACATATCGATAATTTTGGAATTGCAAGTCCTGTGATAATTTCAAAGGATACCCGCCACATATAACCTCAATTGGCGAAAGTCTATGAATGGTGAACAAAGCAATAAGGTTGCAGACATATAATCCGGTGAAGGAACCAATACGCCTGTGAGGAATATTATTCTTTGAAAAGCTAAATTATGGGGAAAATTCGAAGGGCAGTTGGTACATGGAACATTAATTGAAGTAAATGAGTTTTGAAAATCCAGTAAAACCACAGGGAACAGCGTCCTGTAAATTAGTCATGAATACGCCTCGTATATATTTATATCATTGGAATCCGATCACCAAGTGCATCAACAATCGTACGTAAGTTTGTAGAATCTGGAGGCGAGCGCAGTATTGCTATTTATCATACGTAATTATTACTTTGATTATAATAATTATTATTAGTATCGTTATTGATTCTATTTTTCCATTATATATTAATTTCTTAATTATTGTGTGAACACCTTCTCCGAAGTATCAACGTGTTAACGTCACCACAGCAAGTAGGTCGGGGTTCAACGAAAATAATTCATCGGCTAGTGACAGCACATTAGCTTCTAATTCGAATGTACAATCTGTGTCATCGAGTAGTTCTAGTTTGAGGACCAGTCGGGTGGGTTTGAGGTTTCTGCCGCTTCAAATTGTCCAGAGACATGGTTTATTCATGCAGAGAAGAATAAACTAACTAAACCTCAGGAGGTGATAATGTCCGAAGCCATTGTACAAACTTATGTCATTAATGGCGGGCACACAGTTTAGTCAGGACGCTTTGTAAAGAATTTATTATTATTAAAACACGACGTTGGCGTAGATTGTACGGCTTCATGCAATAAAACACCAACGTTGTTTATTTAACAAAATGGAACTATTCTTTATTTGTGATTATTTTCTGCTTATTATCAATTCCATCAACTTGGGCAAGCGTGGGTAACTTGATGTTAAGCATTTGATGATCACTATAAGAATGGATGGTTTCTTGTAAAATCATTCTCCTTTTATACACATTTTCTCTGCTTAAAATTAGGGTAGCTTGAAAAGGTAGTAGGAATCAGAGATGTTAACTTATTGTACTATTTACATGGTTACATTTTAACCGTTGAATTCAAATATTTACACAGATTTGTTAAAACGTACCCCCCGATATTCGGTATTTTGATGATTTCTGCCACATTTTTCAACGGAATTGTCTAAAAAACCACACAAGAAGTTCCTTGTGGGTACTTTATACCTCGGCAAAGAATTGTCCATATAGGTCCACGATATCGTATAGCCCCCATGTAACGGTAACCCCCGATATTCGGTATTTTGATGATTTCTGCCACATTTTTCAATGGAATTGTCTGAAAATCCACACAAGGAGTTCCTTATGGGTACTTCATACCTCGGCAGAGAATTATCTTTATAGGTCCACAATATCGTATAGCCGCCATATAACGGTACCCCCCGATATTCGGTATTTTAATAAGTTTACCCACATTTTTCAACGGAATTGTCTGAAAATCCACACAAGGAGTTCGTTGTGGGAACTTTATACCTCGGCAGAGAATTGTCCATATAGGTCCACGATATCGTATAGCCTCCATGTAACGGTACCCCCCGATATTCGGTATTTTGATGATTTTACCCACATTTTTCAAAGGAATTGTCTGAAAATCCACACAAGGAGTTCCTTGTGAGTACTTTATACCTCAGCAGAGAATTATCTATATAGGTCCACAATATCGTATAGCCCACATATAACGGTACCCCCGATATTCGGTATTTTGATGATTTTACCCACATTTTTCAACGGAATTGTCTGAAAATCCACACAAGGAGTTCCTTGTGGGCATTTTACCTCCTCAAAATGAAGTGTCTATATAGGTCCACGATATCGTATATCCCCCATATAACTGTAACCTCTGATATTCTGTATTTTGATGATATTAGCCACGCTTTTCAATGGAATTGTCTTAAAATCATCACAAGTAGTTCCTTGTGAGTACTTCACCCCCTGAGAGAGATTTGTCTATACAGGTCCACGATATCGTATATCCCCCATATAACGGTACCTCCCGATATTCGGTATTTTATGATTTGACCCACATTTTTCATCGGAATTGTCTGAAAATCCACACAAGGAGTTCCTTGTGGGTACTTTATACCTCGGCAGAGAATTATCTATATAGATCCACGATATTGTATAGCCCTCATATAACGGTACCCCCGATATTCGGTATTTTGATGTTTTTAGCCACATTTTTGAACGGAATTGTCTGAAAATCCACACAAGGAGTTCCTTATGGGTACTTCATACCTCGGCAGAGAATTATCTTTATAGGACCACAATATCGTATAGCCGCCATATAACGGTACCCCCCGATATTCGGTATTTTAATAAGTTTACCCACATTTTTCAACGGAATTGTCTGAAAATCCACACAAGGAGTTCCTTGTGGGAACTTTATACCTCGGCAGAGAATTGTCCATATAGGTCCACGATATCGTATAGCCTCCATGTAACGGTACCCCCCGATATTCGGTATTTTGATGATTTTACCCACATTTTTCAACGGAATTGTCTGAAAATCCACACAAGGAGTTCCTTGTGAGTACTTTATACCTCAGCAGAGAATTATCTATATAGGTCCACAATATCGTATAGCCCACATATAACGGTACCCCCCGATATTCGGTATTTTGATGATTTTACCCACATTTTTCAACGGAATTGTCTGAAAATCCACACAAGGAGTTCCTTGTGGGCATTTTACCTCCTCAAAATGATGTGTCTATATAGGTCCACGATATCGTATATCCCCCATATAACTGTAACCTCTGATATTCTGTATTTTGATGATATTAGCCACGCTTTTCAATGGAATTGTCTTAAAATCAACACAAGTAGTTCCTTGTGAGTACTTCACCCCCTGAGAGAGAATTGTCTATACAGGTCCACGATATCGTATATCCCCCATATAACGGTACCTCCCGATATTCGGTATTTTATGATTTGACCCACATTTTTCATCGGAATTGTCTGAAAATCCACACAAGGAGTTCCTTGTGGGTACTTTATACCTCGGCAGAGAATTATCTATATAGATCCACGATATTGTATAGCCCTCATATAACGGTACCCCCGATATTCGGTATTTTGATGTTTTTAGCCACATTTTTGAACGGAATTGTCTGAAAATCCACACAAGGAGTTCCTTATGGGTACTTCATACCTCGGCAGAGAATTATCTTTATAGGTCCACAATATCGTATAGCCGCCATATAACGGTACCCCCCGATATTCGGTATTTTAATAAGTTTACCCACATTTTTCAACGGAATTGTCTGAAAATCCACACAAGGAGTTCGTTGTGGGAACTTTATACCTCGGCAGAGAATTGTCCATATAGGTCCACGATATCGTATAGCCTCCATGTAACGGTACCCCCCGATATTCGGTATTTTGATGATTTTACCCACATTTTTCAACGGAATTGTCTGAAAATCCACACAAGGAGTTCCTTGTGAGTACTTTATACCTCAGCAGAGAATTATCTATATAGGTCCACAATATCGTATAGCCCACATATAACGGTACCCCCCGATATTCGGTATTTTGATGATTTTACCCACATTTTTCAACGGAATGGTCACAAGGGGTTCTTTGTACACAAGGGGTTCTTTGTGAGCACTTTACCCACCGACAGAGAATTCTCTATATAGGTTAACGATAACGTATAGCTCCCATATAACGGTACCCCTCGATATTCGGTATTTTCATGATTTTAGCCACATTTTCCAATCGTATTGTCTGAAAATGCACACACGGAGTTCCTTGTGAGTACTTTACACGCAGACATAGATTTGTCTTTATAGGTCCACAATATCGTATATCCCCCCATATATCGGCATCTTCCTATATTAGATATTTTAAAGATTTTAAAAGAATTTTTATTGGATTTTATTTTTTTGAAAATTTTCTAATTCGTTCCAAATGGTGGAGGGTATTCAAAGTTCGGCCCGGCCGAACTTACTGCTTTTTTACTTGTTATATAAATAAATCGTATACCACAACTCACTGATTTTATTGTGCATGCAATTGTTTCTACAATTGGCGATCCTGTATTTGTTTCTTTGAAAAGCAATCCTGCGAACATTATATTTTTTAGGACACTCAAAAGGACTACAAAACTTATGGAAAACAATTTGAGACGATTTAAATTGTGCTTAGAGAAAACTTATCGATAATTTTGGAATTGCAAGTCCTGTGATAATTTCAAAGGATACCCGTCACATACAACCTCAATTGGCGAAAGTCTATGAATGGTGAACAAAGCAATAAGGTTGCAGACATATAATCCGGTGAAGGAACCAATACGCCTGTAAGGAATATTATTCTTTGAAAAGCTAAATTATGGGGAAAATTCGAAGGGCAGTTGGTACATGGAACATTAATTGAAGTAAATGAGTTTTGAAAATCCAGTAAAACCACAGGGAACAGCGTCCTGTAAATTAGTCATGAATACGCCTCGTGGTTAGTCATTTGATAGCGGATAACTATATTTATATCATTGGAATCCGATCACCAAGTGCATCAACAATCGTACGTAAGTTTGTAGAATCTGGAGGCGAGCGCAGTATTGCTATTTATCATACGTAATTATTACTTTGATTATAATAATTATTATTAGTATCGTTATTGATTCTATTTTTCCATTATATATTAATTTCTTAATTATTGTGTGAACACCTTCTCCGAAGTATCAACATGTTAACGTCACCACAGCAAGTAGGTCGGGGTTCAACGAAAATAATTCATCGGCTAGTGACAGCACATTATACGATATTGTGGACCTATATAGATAATTCTCTGCCGAGGTATAAAGTACCCACAAGGAACTACTTGAGTGGATTTTCAGACAATTCCATTGAAAAATGTGGCTAACATAATCAAAATACCGAATATCGGGGGTACCGTTATAGGGGGCCGATATAGCCCATCTTCGAACTTGACCTGCCTGCAGACAAAAGAGAGATCTGTGCAAATTTTTAGCTTCCTATCTTAATTTGTTCAGACTGTATCGTGATTACAGCAGACGGACAGGTCTAAATCGTCTTAGAATTTTACGCTGATCAAGAATATATATACTTTGTTGGGTCTAAAATGATTATTTCGATGAGTTACAAACGGAATGACGAACTTAAACCCTCCATACTTTTTCGTGGAGGGTATAAAGATCATGTTAGACCCTACTAAGTGTATATATTCTTGATTAGCGTAAAATTCTGTGCCGATTTAGGGATATCCGTTCGTCTGTTCTAATCAATCTATCTTTAGAACGAATTTATACAGAAGGATTAAATTTTGAACATTTCCAGCGATTCGATCTTTATGGAGCGTTAGTTTTTGTAAATACACTAGGTACTAAGAGAAAATAAAATATGTTAAGCGGCAAATAGACCACACAAATTATTTGCGCAAATTCACACGTATTCAGCACACACACGTTGCAAACGTTTGCACAAATTTCATTCGAAGTAAGTACTCAGCGAGTGAAGTCATTCGGAAAAATGTTTGAGAACGCAGCTATTGCCGTCGCTTTGGCACTCGCCATAAAAAAGAAGCGCGAAGAAGAAAAAAAATTAAACGCAAACGCTTGTGGGCAAAAGAGTGGCTAAGGAAACGGCCAATTCTTTATGTCTCTGTTTGCATATTCCTTCGACCTTATGTCCCACAGAGCAGGCAAAGACCGGTAAACTTCAATAAACACCAAAATGAAATTCCGTTCTTCTTCTCTTTCCATTTTTAAAAAATAACAACAAAAAACAAACAAACAAAACTACGGCGGCAAGTCAAAAATTAACTTATATTCTTCTTCTTCTTTTGTTGTGTAATGCTTGACTGTTTATCACGAAATGAACAGATTTAGTGCAAACGCCCACACACCACACAAACATTTGCGCAAACAAGCCGAAAAATCTAAATGGTTTTGATTTTTCAGATCGATTTGCACAAACTCGTACGTGTGACACATACAACCTTATTTCACTAACACACATAAGCGATTTGCACAAAAATTTGTGTGGTCTATGGGTCGCTTTAGAGCCTGTGTGAACGCATTACATGTCTATTTACTTTTCATTAAAAATATACTTTTCATTTCAAGTATTGCAAAATATAAAAATATAGATTAAAAAGTGTAATTCATAACAGAAACTGAAAAAATACACCAAAACAAAGAAACAAACTAAACACAATTGTTTACTGCGCTCACGCACAACCGACAAAATAAGCGATCACAATCAATCGTGAACGTTCGTTATCATTGTCAAAAATGATTTCAATCTCCATCCAATGAACGATCGTTGTTGTATTCTCGCGCTCGTTTGTAATCTGTGTGCGAAAATTCGTTTGACGAACTTTCGACTGGTAAAATATGTATCGCGTTAAAATACAATCGCAAAATGAGCTCGAGTGAAAAGATCGTGTTTTTAACAGTCCGCAATTTTAGCGCACCCTGTGACAATCTCACATAATATTGTCTATTATTGTTTACACCATTTGAAATAATATGCATTTTTTTATTTTTAGGGAAACATATGGAAGATGCCTTATTCTAGATGGAATTATTCAGTGCACTACACGAGACGAATTTTCTTATCAAGAAATGATATCATTTATACCACTTTGTTCTCATCCAAATCCAGAAAAAGTACTAATTGTTGGGGGTGGTGATGGAGGTGTAGCACGTGAAGTTGCAAAACATCCAAAAGTCAAGGAAATTCACCAAGTTGAAATAGACGATCGTGTCGTGGACTTATCAAAAAAGTTTCTTCCAGAAATGGCCAGGGGATTCGATAGCCCGAAGTTGAAACTAGTTATCGGCGATGGATTCAAATACATGAAAGATCATAAAGACGAATTCGATGTAATAATTACAGATAGTTCAGATCCAATTGGACCAGCGGAAAGTCTTTTCAAAGAGAGCTATTATGGCCTAATGAAAACAGCTTTAAGAGTAGGTGGAATAGTGTGCTCGCAAGGTGGAAGCTTTTGGCTCGACCCAAGTCATGTAAAAGAGGTTATGACCGGTTGCCGAGTTCATTTCCCTAATGTATCTTATGCTGTTACATCAATTCCATCCTACCCTTGTGGACATATTGGTTTTGTAGTTGGGTGCTTAGACCAAAAACTTAATCTTAATACTCCTAAACAATTATTTTCTTCTAAAGAAATTGATGAAATGGATTTGAAGTACTACTCAAGTTCCATTCATACGGCTTCTTTCAATCTTCCTAGATGGGTCCACAAATACTTTTACGAATCACAGTAGGCTCCCTGTTTACATAAAACAAACATACTTATAACAACATTTTAAACGAAATTAAATAAAATATTGAATGACAAGTCGATTATTTTTTTTTTCTAATGTAAAAAATGAGAGGTAGTATGCTACTGGGCAAATGAAATATATTTTTATACAACGCCCTTGAGCGACATTACATTAATTACATTTTAAGATGACAACCTAGGACCTACGAACCATGAAGAAACAATAAGAAAAACGTAAATAAACGTATAATTCCTCCGTGCCAAACTTTTAATAACATCCACAAAAAAGAAGATACACTTAAAAATAAATTTAAATAGATTCAACCCTATGTAGGTACACTTTGCTATGCACTTCAAAATAAATTATTTCATATCATGCATTGCTAAAACTATTATAATTGTTTCATTTTGGGATATCAAAATATGTATTCAGTTTTCACTTTATTCCAATTGTGTTCGTTAATAAACTATGTTGATTTTTATACCCTCCACCAAAAAAGGTATGGAGGGTATATTAACTTTGTCATTCCGTTTGTAACTCATCGAAATAGTCATTTTAGACCCAACAAAGTATATATATTCTTGATCAGCGTAAAATTCTAAGACGATTTAGCCCTGTCCGTCCGTCTGTCCGTCTGTTGTAATCACGCTACAGTCTAAACGAATTAAGATAGGAAGCTAAAATTTTGCACAGATCTCTCTTTTGTCTGCAGGCAGGTCAAGTTCGAAGATGGGCTATATCGGTCCACGATATCGTATAGCCCCCATATAACGGTACCCCCCGATATCCGGTATTTTGATGATTTTACCCACATTTTTCAACGGAATTGTCTGAAAATCCACACAAGGAGTTCCTTGTGGGTACTTTATACCTCGGCAGAGAATTGTCTATATAGGTCCACGATATCGTATAGCCCCCATGTAAGGGTACCCCCCGATATTCGGTATTTTGATGATTTTACCCACATTTTTCAACGGAATTGTCTGAAAATCCACACAAGGAGTTCCTTGTGGGTACTTTATACCTCGGCAGAGAATTGTCCATATAGGTCCACAATATCGTATAGCCCCCATATAACGGTACCCCCCGATATTCGGTATTTTGATGATTTTACCCACATTTTTCAACGGAATTGTTAAAAGAATTTTTATTGGATTTTATTTTTTTGAAAATTTTCTAATTCGTTCCAAATGGTGGAGGGTATTCAAAGTTCGGCCCGGCCGAACTTACTGCTTTTTTACTTGTTATATAAATAAATCGTATACCACAACTCACTGATTTTATTGTGCATGCAATTGTTTCTACAATTGGCGATCCTGTATTTGTTTCTTTGAAAAGCAATCCTGCGAACATTATATTTTTTTAGGACACTCAAAAGGACTACAAAACTTATGGAAAACAATTTGAGACGATTTAAATTGTGCTTAGAGAAAACATATCGATAATTTTGGAATTGCAAGTCCTGTGATAATTTCAAAGGATACCCGCCACATATAACCTCAATTGGCGAAAGTCTATGAATGGTGAACAAAGCAATAAGGTTGCAGACATATAATCCGGTGAAGGAACCAATACGCCTGTGAGGAATATTATTCTTTGAAAAGCTAAATTATGGGGAAAATTCGAAGGGCAGTTGGTACATGGAACATTAATTGAAGTAAATGAGTTTTGAAAATCCAGTAAAACCACAGGGAACAGCGTCCTGTAAATTAGTCATGAATACGCCTCGTATATATTTATATCATTGGAATCCGATCACCAAGTGCATCAACAATCGTACGTAAGTTTGTAGAATCTGGAGGCGAGCGCAGTATTGCTATTTATCATACGTAATTATTACTTTGATTATAATAATTATTATTAGTATCGTTATTGATTCTATTTTTCCATTATATATTAATTTCTTAATTATTGTGTGAACACCTTCTCCGAAGTATCAACGTGTTAACGTCACCACAGCAAGTAGGTCGGGGTTCAACGAAAATAATTCATCGGCTAGTGACAGCACATTAGCTTCTAATTCGAATGTACAATCTGTGTCATCGAGTAGTTCTAGTTTGAGGACCAGTCGGGTGGGTTTGAGGTTTCTGCCGCTTCAAATTGTCCAGAGACATGGTTTATTCATGCAGAGAAGAATAAACTAACTAAACCTCAGGAGGTGATAATGTCCGAAGCCATTGTACAAACTTATGTCATTAATGGCGGGCACACAGTTTAGTCAGGACGCTTTGTAAAGAATTTATTATTATTAAAACACGACGTTGGCGTAGATTGTACGGCTTCATGCAATAAAACACCAACGTTGTTTATTTAACAAAATGGAACTATTCTTTATTTGTGATTATTTTCTGCTTATTATCAATTCCATCAACTTGGGCAAGCGTGGGTAACTTGATGTTAAGCATTTGATGATCACTATAAGAATGGATGGTTTCTTGTAAAATCATTCTCCTTTTATACACATTTTCTCTGCTTAAAATTAGGGTAGCTTGAAAAGGTAGTAGGAATCAGAGATGTTAACTTATTGTACTATTTACATGGTTACATTTTAACCGTTGAATTCAAATATTTACACAGATTTGTTAAAACGTACCCCCCGATATTCGGTATTTTGATGATTTCTGCCACATTTTTCAACGGAATTGTCTAAAAAACCACACAAGAAGTTCCTTGTGGGTACTTTATACCTCGGCAAAGAATTGTCCATATAGGTCCACGATATCGTATAGCCCCCATGTAACGGTAACCCCCGATATTCGGTATTTTGATGATTTCTGCCACATTTTTCAATGGAATTGTCTGAAAATCCACACAAGGAGTTCCTTATGGGTACTTCATACCTCGGCAGAGAATTATCTTTATAGGTCCACAATATCGTATAGCCGCCATATAACGGTACCCCCCGATATTCGGTATTTTAATAAGTTTACCCACATTTTTCAACGGAATTGTCTGAAAATCCACACAAGGAGTTCGTTGTGGGAACTTTATACCTCGGCAGAGAATTGTCCATATAGGTCCACGATATCGTATAGCCTCCATGTAACGGTACCCCCCGATATTCGGTATTTTGATGATTTTACCCACATTTTTCAAAGGAATTGTCTGAAAATCCACACAAGGAGTTCCTTGTGAGTACTTTATACCTCAGCAGAGAATTATCTATATAGGTCCACAATATCGTATAGCCCACATATAACGGTACCCCCGATATTCGGTATTTTGATGATTTTACCCACATTTTTCAACGGAATTGTCTGAAAATCCACACAAGGAGTTCCTTGTGGGCATTTTACCTCCTCAAAATGAAGTGTCTATATAGGTCCACGATATCGTATATCCCCCATATAACTGTAACCTCTGATATTCTGTATTTTGATGATATTAGCCACGCTTTTCAATGGAATTGTCTTAAAATCATCACAAGTAGTTCCTTGTGAGTACTTCACCCCCTGAGAGAGATTTGTCTATACAGGTCCACGATATCGTATATCCCCCATATAACGGTACCTCCCGATATTCGGTATTTTATGATTTGACCCACATTTTTCATCGGAATTGTCTGAAAATCCACACAAGGAGTTCCTTGTGGGTACTTTATACCTCGGCAGAGAATTATCTATATAGATCCACGATATTGTATAGCCCTCATATAACGGTACCCCCGATATTCGGTATTTTGATGTTTTTAGCCACATTTTTGAACGGAATTGTCTGAAAATCCACACAAGGAGTTCCTTATGGGTACTTCATACCTCGGCAGAGAATTATCTTTATAGGACCACAATATCGTATAGCCGCCATATAACGGTACCCCCCGATATTCGGTATTTTAATAAGTTTACCCACATTTTTCAACGGAATTGTCTGAAAATCCACACAAGGAGTTCCTTGTGGGAACTTTATACCTCGGCAGAGAATTGTCCATATAGGTCCACGATATCGTATAGCCTCCATGTAACGGTACCCCCCGATATTCGGTATTTTGATGATTTTACCCACATTTTTCAACGGAATTGTCTGAAAATCCACACAAGGAGTTCCTTGTGAGTACTTTATACCTCAGCAGAGAATTATCTATATAGGTCCACAATATCGTATAGCCCACATATAACGGTACCCCCCGATATTCGGTATTTTGATGATTTTACCCACATTTTTCAACGGAATTGTCTGAAAATCCACACAAGGAGTTCCTTGTGGGCATTTTACCTCCTCAAAATGATGTGTCTATATAGGTCCACGATATCGTATATCCCCCATATAACTGTAACCTCTGATATTCTGTATTTTGATGATATTAGCCACGCTTTTCAATGGAATTGTCTTAAAATCAACACAAGTAGTTCCTTGTGAGTACTTCACCCCCTGAGAGAGAATTGTCTATACAGGTCCACGATATCGTATATCCCCCATATAACGGTACCTCCCGATATTCGGTATTTTATGATTTGACCCACATTTTTCATCGGAATTGTCTGAAAATCCACACAAGGAGTTCCTTGTGGGTACTTTATACCTCGGCAGAGAATTATCTATATAGATCCACGATATTGTATAGCCCTCATATAACGGTACCCCCGATATTCGGTATTTTGATGTTTTTAGCCACATTTTTGAACGGAATTGTCTGAAAATCCACACAAGGAGTTCCTTATGGGTACTTCATACCTCGGCAGAGAATTATCTTTATAGGTCCACAATATCGTATAGCCGCCATATAACGGTACCCCCCGATATTCGGTATTTTAATAAGTTTACCCACATTTTTCAACGGAATTGTCTGAAAATCCACACAAGGAGTTCGTTGTGGGAACTTTATACCTCGGCAGAGAATTGTCCATATAGGTCCACGATATCGTATAGCCTCCATGTAACGGTACCCCCCGATATTCGGTATTTTGATGATTTTACCCACATTTTTCAACGGAATTGTCTGAAAATCCACACAAGGAGTTCCTTGTGAGTACTTTATACCTCAGCAGAGAATTATCTATATAGGTCCACAATATCGTATAGCCCACATATAACGGTACCCCCCGATATTCGGTATTTTGATGATTTTACCCACATT